AACTAGACAAAACGGGTTTTAACAAAGACATTCAGCATAAACTAGTTTCAACTAGACAAAACGGGTTTTAACAAAGACATTCAGTATAAACTAGTTTCAACTAGTTAAAACACATTCTAACTAAAAACGGGTTTTGACTGTAACATTACTAAGATATAAGGTTCTCGTGTGTAGGTGTCCTACTCTCCCTCAATATCAATGTTGCTAATACAGTCTGTTTCATTTGAAGGAACCAAATATATTATATATTTTTCTTCTATGTATTTTGATTTCACTTTGGACGGTTTGCATTAGTGTTTATACCTTGGTTGTAATATGTTTGTTAAAATTCTGATCACGTCAGAACACACTTTTTGTTTTGTTGTGCTATATCCATTTTTCTACATAATTATTTCTGATGACAATTAAATGATTTTGTAAAAATTAAAGAATTGCAGTTGAATTCTGTAAATAGACAACAGAATTACAGTGGAACCCCGGTTAACAAACTTAATCCATTCCACGAGTCTGTTCATTAACCGAAGCAATTTTTCCCATAGAAATTAATGCAAATACAATTTATTCATTCTAGCCTCCAAAATTTTTGTGATTTTATTTGTAAAATACAGTAAGTTTTTTCATGAAAATGTAAGAAAACGTAGTATCTATCATTACAACAACAAACATGTAAACTTTATTTAATAAAATAGCATTGTACATACCTTCGTTTGTTGTAGTTTGTGGCAGAGGAGTGGAGATATATGGAGCTTAATGCTTAGAAGGGAAATCCCCCTCCAAAAAAATAACAGGTAGCACTAACAGGAGATTCTTTGAGTCGAGGTCTCTTTTGGTAAGGAACAAGAAATTGATCTAATCAAAACTTTTCTCAAATGCAATAGCGCATTGTTTTCTATTGCCAATATCACTTTTCTCTTTCTTGGATGCCATATTGATTAAATATATAAATCACAAAACTGAAAAAAGAAGTTTAGCACATACATTTGGGAAAGCAATGTTTAACTCATGCCTGCCTAACAGCAACTAAAATTTGACACAAAAAACCGTTACATTTATTATCTGGATTTCGTCTGTTATCCAAGACAAAATTTTTGCAAAATAAAAGTTGTTTAATCGGTTTGGTCATTAATCAGGGTTCCACTGTACCTTAACCATAACTTATATTGATACATTCTTAAATGTAAAATTTGACTTAACATATTGAATTTTTACACAAACCCTGAAAAATTTTAGTGTTATATATATGCAATTTTTGATAGTGTAGGATTTGGAATTTTATGTAATCTGGAACAATCTGGAAATCTGCATATAATGCACATGAATCATTTGTAAGAGACAAAATGCAATAAATTTGAAGATTAAATAAAAATTTTCTTTTCAAACTTCAAATTACTAACTTTCTGAATAATTTAATATTTATACTGTTTTGATATCAATAATTCTATATTAATAGCATTTAGATGTCTAAAAATCAAATTCAAATAAATGTTTACTGTGCTGATTTTGCTATAAAAAAAAATTCAGATGAACACTAAGAAATGTTAAAATTAAAAACAAAATATAGAAAATTTTCTTGGGATTATCCTCATTCAATTAATTAAGCTGAACTTGCAAGACATGGATATATTAGATTACTTTCTATTTAGATCTTTCATTGTAATTTTAATATCTTTATAAAAAGAAATATGATGTTTAAAGTTGATCATATATAATGAATAACTACTCACCACACCAACTTAAAAAATTATGCACACGGAACCAATTTACGGTGTGATAACATCGAAAAATATCAAACGTTTATTTTTTGATTTTTCTATGTTATCACACCATAAATTGGTTCCGTGTGCGTAATTTTTCATTTCATATTGAATTGTATTCATTATATAAGTACTAAAGAATAAAGCAAAATTATTTTTTTTCTTTTCAACTTATAATTATAAACTTTTCAATTTGTCTCAATGCTTTTGTATTGAAAACATTTTGAAATTTATTTGCCTTGCTCTGGTTTTCTTTTGAATATGTGTTCTTGGAGTTTCATTCATATATTCTTAACTCTGTTAGTTGTTATATTTTATAATTTATTATTATATTACATTTATGTGTAATTAAAATTATTAATTTACATCATCATAAATCAACTTATTTACTACTTAAAACACAATTAGATACTATATGGATAATTGTGTAATTCATAATACACAAATTTTAATCTGTGAAGAACTAATACTTTATTTCTTTGATTTTAAAATACCAATATTTTTTAAACTAAATTTTAAGATCTTTTTTACAAGAAAAACAAAATCTTTAAAATAAATTTTATTAAACAACAAATGTAAAAAGCAATACAAATGTCAAGAATTAGATATTTTTTGTTATTTTCACACTCTTCTATGCAAACAATAAACTTTGGTGATTTTTGAGTCTATCAATTCTTCCTTTTCACACACCATAGAAGTACACCTTTTACATTTGTTTGAAGAAATCACTTCATTAAAAACAATTAACAATAGGTAAAAATTACATTATTAAAAATGATCAGACGTCAGCCTTTCATTTTAGGTTCTGACGCCTATAATGTAATTTTTACCTATTGTTAATTGTTTTTAATGAAGTGATTTCTTCAAACAAATGCAAAAGGTGTACTTCTATGGTGTGTGAAAAGGAAGAATTGATAGACTCAAAAATTAATTTTTGTAAATAGTCTGAACTTCTAATTATAATTTGGAAGAAAAATATCCTGAGTTCATCATGCATTTGAAACTTTGGTGACTTTTCTTTTTGCTTCATAATGTTTTGAAGATATATATTTTTAAATGCTTGTAACTAGCAAAACTTATTTGAACAGATTAATCATTAGGCAGTTTAGCTGAAAATGTCTACATGATGTGTTATGTACTAATACTAGTATGTTTACAATGGCTGCTGATTTGTTTTGGATTGAAAATGTAAGATGCATTTCTATTTGAGACAAATAAATATTAATTTTTAAAAATCAATCTTAGAATTGATTTTTAAAAATAAAGAAACATTTTTAAAGAAATAAAGATCTTAACTTGGCATAAAAAATGTAAAAAACAAAAATTCAAATACATCCAAAAGTTCTAGCTTAAAAATTGATTAAACCAAAATGCCAGTATGCATCATCCAACAAGGAAAATTGGAAACTTATGAACATGTCAGTGCAAAAAAGGGGAAAAAATCTACAGAAAAAATATTGTATTCAATCTTGATACTTAATACGCCTTTTGTTCTAAGAGTTTGAGACAATATGTATAATATAGATCTATTACCAATACTAAAATGCTTACTTCGGGAAGTCAAAATTTTTAATTGAAAAATAAACATTTTTGTCCTGGACCAGGACAAACCATTTCTCATTTTTCAATTAAAGATTTGGCTTCCTGAAGTAAACATTTTAGTATTGATGATAGTATGGTGCTAGGGATCTATTTTTATTTACCAAATATGTATCAATTCTTTTAAAGCAATATTGAGAACTTTAGTTTGTTTTGGGACAAGCAGTGATATCAATATAGCTTCTATTTATTTTATTGACAATCATTTAAATGTAGAAATATTCAACTGAAAATGCTACTGCATTTCTATATTAGGGACTCTGTTCCTCTAAAGGACCTCTATTCCCAGGGTTGGATCACCAAGGCAATCAGCTTGGTGATTCAACCCTGTATTTTGTTCATATTCATGTTGCAATTTTAATAATACTTTACACAAGCAATATTAGTTTTATATATATATGGATTAAATAACTGTAAACAATTAAAAGTACCATAAAATTTGAATTTGTTACAAATTGTATCAACAGATCTTAAACTTCCATCAATAAATACTTTGAAAACATTAGTGCATGCTATTAATATTAGTCATTTTTAACCACCATGATCAGGTGAACTGAACCACAAATTAGAACAATTTATATGGAATGTATCAGGAAAGACACATAAGTTGTTCTAATTTGTGGTTCAGTTCACCTGATGATGGCTGTTTAAAATAAGCTGAAAATATAAATGTATGCTGCTAAAGCTGTTTACTGCCAGAACTTTAAAGTGTATCATGTAAACACTAAACTTTTAATTGTTTTTTCTTTTCACTAATTAATTATCTTACTCCATCACCTAATGCTAGTTGAGAAAAAATTTTATTTAATGAATGAATGCATTTAACCCATTAACATAGGTAATCTTTAGGTTTAAAATTTAATTATAAACCATTACAAAAATGGAATATTCAGATATTTAAATTTTACATTTGAACATAAAATTCAAAATACAAATTTAAACTTGAACACACAAAATAATCTTACAAGTTAGTTTTGTTCACTACACTGTATATTTAACAAAATTTAATAAAAATTAAGAAATATTATGCTTTATTTTCTATTGTGTATTTTCATGCTGAAATAATGCTTTTGCATTCCTGGCTTTCAGGCATTGGTCATTAATTTTACTCTATACATTTCTATTTTTTCCATTTTCATTGCAATAGATGAGGAATGTAATCTATTTGTCACACGAGTAGAAGGCTTGAATTTATTTTACACAAAGAAACTTCACAATACATCTCAGAAAACATAGAGTTGAAAAGGCCTTACTAATAATGCTTTTCCTCCCACCTATTCTATCTGTGGACTTTGCCAGAGCCACAAGCCCTGGTCAGGATACAAAAAGTTTAAATATAAAATGTAAATTTGTTACTTTATATTAAACTGGTTCATTTCACTGAAATTTATCATACAGAATTTGTTTAATTTTATCTAGAAGTTTATGAAAAATTTAAATGATAAAATGTAATTTTTACAATAAATTAATTCTTATTTTCAATAGTGGTCCTAGTCACTGGTGCCTCAGGTTATATTGCTGCACATATTATTAAATTACTACTGGAAGAGGAATATCGTGTTAGAGGGACTGTCAGAAGTTTGCAAAATGAACAAAAAGTGAAACCTTTACAAGAACTTTGTCCTGATGCTCGATATCCATTAGAATTAGTGGAAGCTGATTTAACTAATCCTGATTGCTGGAAAGAGTAAGTATATATTAAGTCAGTTTTCAATAAGAAAAATACAGTGGAAACTCAATTATCCGAATGAGACCAAGGGTCTTTTAGATAAATGAAATTACAGATAATCCTGCAACTTGTTTGTGTTTTGGTTATATTATGCACTGTGCATTTTAATGTTTCAATACCATAATGCAATTACTGTATTTGAAGAAAAAGTAATGAACTCAAAATTTAATGTAATATTATGTTCATGACCTAGTTTTGCACTGTTGCAACTGACAGATGATGTTACTATTTCCAGTTACATGGAGAGTTTGATCTCTACAGTGTGTATTTTCTGTGTACTCTGTGATATGTACAACACTACATGTTCTGTTTTCCCTTCCCTTCTTTCTGAAAACTGTTTTGAATAATTGAGTTTCCATCCTATATTTTCTAATTTATTTATAAAAAAATAAGAAAGTATAAAATTTTCATAAATCTTTTTTCAATGTAGAAACTAGTTTTAAATTTTGATGTAGTAAACTTGTTTTATAGCAACCCTTGATTTAGCAACTTATGATGATAGAACAGGGGTCAGCAACCTGCGGCTCTTTGGATGTGAAGCTGCGGCTCTTTAGTTCCATACGCAAATATTATTTATTTTATTAAAAAAAACATTTAAAAATCGTTTTGAATTGATTAACAAGGATTAGGTACTGATTCTATCTCTCAGCCACTTGTACTCGCTTTTCACCGCACCCCCTCCCCCATGACATGCGTCGTCAGTCCGTCGGAAGCTCTCGAATGACGCCGTCATCGGATGTTTCTATTATCTAATTTGTTGTGAAAAACACTACTTATATATGAATAAATAGATATTTTTTCTTATCAATAAATAGATTAGTTTGTTTTATCAAAAAACTTTATTTATGCAAGTACTATTTATTGTTGGCAAGAAAAAATTTTGTGGCTCTTTAAAAACTTTGAAATTTTGTAAATTGTAATTTTGGCTCTTCCGACTCAAAAGATTGCCGACCCCTGTGATAGAAGGTTTCAACTTTTCTCCCATAAGTAAGGAACCATTTTTTTATCAATATAATTATCTTGTAAATAGTCGTAATCCCATCAGTGATCTTTCAGAACATTGAATCAACAAACCTGGGAGTAAAAATAAACCTCGGATGAAACTATGCCATAATATTAAAAAAAAATCAAAACTATATTTATTGCATATAAATATAAATGAAGGAAATATACCAACCTTGTACTTTGCATGTAGTTTTGAAAGTTGTCACATTACTAACATTTTCAGTCCATGTCTAGGACCTTCCTCAGGTAGATCTTTTTGAAAAAATGATTCCTTCTGGTGCTGGTGGTGTTCTATTTTGGAATGCATTTAACTCTGACCTATTCAAATTTTGAATATTTTCTTTGTTATCTAAACATGTGTGTCTGCATTGTTTGTTATAATGTGTCAGGTCATAAATCACAAACGCATGGTAAGCTATGTGTTTTTCATCTTTAAAATTGATAGAAAGCTCTTGCAGTTGGCTTTAAAAATCTCCAATGCCTCCAAATTCCTAAGTTTGTTTATATGACAGGTTTGTCATATTATGGTAGCCTGTTGTAGTTCTGGTGTAATCACGTTCTCACTGGCATATATCAACAAAGGCAGTGGTTTTTTTTTCTTCTTTTTGATATCTGTTTTGTGTTCAGGGATGTGTTGTTTGAGAGATCTTCTTGTAGACCCAATGTATACAAGGTCTCTATTAAACCTGTTATCCTTGAATGGAATTTTATATACTCCCAATGCTCTTTCTATGTCCACTTGATCTTTCTCATTCCTAAGCAGTTTGAATGTATCAGGTTTATATCTGTAAGCAATTTTTGTATGTTTCAATTTCCCAATATAAAGAATGCAGATGGTGCTCATATGTTATAATAATATGGTAGGAGATGCATGTTGCTGTTGAATATCTTTTATTGGAGTTCTATCAATTCATCTTCAAGTTAGTATATAAAATGGAAAACAAGCAGAGAAACTAAGTTTTTAGTAGTCCATGCATTTCAGCAATCTCTGCTATTCTTTTTTATTTCCTTCTGCTTGTCTATTTCCTTCTATCTCTCTTATTGGAGTAGAACTCCAATAAGAGAGTTCTACTCCTTACTTCTTATAATAAGAGAGAACTCTTATTGGAGTAGAACTCCAATCCCCCAGCAACATGCATCTCCTACCATATTATAATCTATGAGTGCCATATGCATTCTTTATATTGGGAAATTGAAACATATACAAAAAAATGGAAAAAGATGCAACTGTCTTAGTGGAGCAGCATATGGCAGCTGTTTTGTGTATGTAATATCATGGCAATTGGACATGTCCTATATAGGTGACTAGCTTACCCGTTGCGCATTGCTGCGATCTCAGAAGAAACGAAATTCAAGCAAACTCGTTATGATAAAATTCAATTTACATTTTATTATTTTTATTGAAACTTATTATTATTATTCATTTTTATCGGGAAAACATTTCAAAGTGTCGTTTCAATTCTATTTATTTATTGGAGTGTTAGTGGATACACGATATTTTTTGTTTTTCCCTCTGGTGTGTACACAAATAAATCGGAAGGTTTTTCGACGCGTGAGCCAGCCACATACAGTTGTCTATGCGAGAAGCACGGATTCTTTGAATTTAGCCCACACACTCGCTGCGATTGTCAGAAGTCCGATATTCCCCATTTTTATATATATTTTTTAATCCTTTATAATTTTGAATATTTAATCGCTTCTTCCTTTCTTCATTGGCATGTTTTGAAATATCTGATAGTTGGATAATAAACCGTTTTATTGTAATTTGTCTTTTTAAATTATTTTGAGTCGATATTAAAATTTGGAAAAGGGGGGATACCTAGATCGGTAAAATACGCGAATTTCTTCCTACAACTTCGGTTGTTGTTCGGGGTACAGTTAAGGTTTTAACGAAGCTCGAGCGAATACATAATTAGCAAAAAAAAGTTGAAATAAAGTGATTAAACAAAAATTATTACAAATATCGTAAATAACAAATGCATATATAGAGATATTTTTTGAAAGGGGGAAATGGTCTTCACAATTTGAAATCGATCTAACACACTGTGCGCGAATGCTCGTGTAAACGCGCGCCATCTATCGTAGGATAAATGTACTTCGCGGGAGTGTATTAAAAAATTAAAAAAACTTTCCAAAATTTTATGGCAATCGTACTATGCCACAAACCTTCGCCAGAGTATATTAAACAACTTCCCAAAGTTTCACGGCAATCAGATAAACAGTGTGGTAATGCATGAAGGACATAGGACACACACACAGACATACATTCATTTTTATATATATAGATAAGATGTCCTATTTTTCTTCATTTTGTTCTGTTGTCCTGACAATGTTTTGTGACAAATATAAAATAAAGAAATACAAGTGGTATATTTTGCACAATTTGGTATGATAGTTTGAGTGACTTGTGTTTTCATGAAATCAGCTGTGAAAACTGCACAAAGACAATTATGCCTCTATAACCTCAAACCATTTTATGAAAATTTCTATTGATGACAGTGTACTTTAAACAGTATGCTACAACACCATGTATTACTGTATTAAAACTTTTATTGTTATAGTTTATCTTAGCTTTATTACTTATATCCATGAGCAGGGGCAGATCTACATAGGGAATAATAGGGCTTAAGCCCTGGGCCACCAATTGTCAAGGGCCCACAAAAATTGAATTATCATCATAAATTTTTAACACTTCTTCATTAATAATGAGCACTTATTGTACAGTAAGAAATAGCTAATATTAATAATATAGTAATAATGATAATTTATAGTATTATTTGTATTAACAAAAAATGGGGCCCACTGGACTTCAATAAGCCCTAGGCCCCAAAAATCCTAGATCCACCCCTACCCACGAGAATATAAAAGTAAACTAAAACACAATAAGTATGTTTATTGTGATCACCAGTTCAAAACAGTAAAATTTACTGCATTTTAGTTGTTTATTAGAATCATACTTTCAGATATTATACCAGTGATTCTCAATCTTTTTTTCATTGTGGTACACTTTTAATAATTAAAAAATTTGGCAGCACGGTTACTTTGGTAAGTACTGCAATACAACCAGTGATCTTATAACAGTGATTTTTAAACACAGTTGGTTATTTAGGTCACGTTTTCTAAATGACTTGGTAACTACCAGCAGTTACCGGTTAAATTTCCAAATGCACCCTAGGAAGTTTGAACTGATTGAACTACTTGTCTGACTTCATTTATGTATGGGTATTTGCAGTGGTGGCACACTTCAAAAATCTCGTGGCAAACTAAAGTGCCACGGCACAGTGGTTGAGAATCACTGTATTAGACTTAGACGAATTTCAGATAGAATAGAGCATCAATTATCTTAAACAATTCGGGACTGGAGTTGTTCAGATAACTGATAATGTATGAAAAAATATATTAACCTATCCCATGTTGAAATTTTTCTCTGTTGCATGTCGCTTCACGTTGAATTTTTGTCAATGTTAAGCCTAATAAAAATTTTTAAAAAATAATAAATGGCTATTGTATCGTTAAAAATTACTTTTTTATTTTGCACAAACAAAATAAATATATTGAAAAATAAATTATATTTTGGAAGTTAATCTAGTATCGAAAACATTCCAATTCAGCACAACATATGTCCCAACACAGTCCTCAGAAAAACACCACACAAAACAAACAAAACTCTTTCTTTTTCTTGGGTTTATCTGGAGATGTCAGCTGCTTGGGCTATATTCTCCGATGAGCTGAAGCAAAACACACCACTCATGATGGGGGAAAAAAGCCTTGTTCAAATACTGGCGTGTCCTTAATTAAATATCCTCTCTATATGTGTCTTGCTGAATTGGAACGTTTTTGATACTAGATTAACTTCTGAAATATAATTTTTTTTTTAAAATATATTTTCAATATATTTATTTTGTTTGTGCAAAATAAAGAAATAATTTTTAATGATACAATATGGTTGCACC